TCATACCCCTTTCCGCTTATGATATGTAAAATCATGTTGCGCTTCTTAAGACTCTACTCCACCCAACTTTATACCCCTTTCGGCTTATGATATGTAAAATCATGTTGCGCTTCTTAAGACTCCACTCCACCCAAACTTCACACCCTTTTCGGCTTATGATATGTAAAATCATGTTGCGCTTCTTAAGACTCCACTCCACCCAACTTTATACCCCTTTCGGCTTATGATATGTAAAATCATGTTGCGCTTCTTAAGACTCCACTCCACCCAACTTTATACCCCTTTCGGCTTGTGATATGTAAAATCATGTTGCGCTTCTAAGACTCCACTCCACCCAACTTTATACCCCTTTCGGCTTATGATATGTAAAATCATGTTGCACTTCTTAAGACTCTACTCGCCCAACTTTAAAAGTTGGGCGAGTAGAATCTTAAAGTTTATACCCCTTTCGGCTTATGATATGTAAAATAATGTTGCGCTTTTTAAGACCCTAGTACTCCCCCAACTTTGTTTGGTGTTTTTCGATTAAATTGAGGAGGTCATGGAGTTTGGTTTGTCAATGTACATGAACGTTGCAACAATGCAAGGAATGGCCGCCCTCAAATGTTAAAATGGTAAAAGATTGTAGGTATGAAAATTGTACACGCATGGCCTTTCATTTGAGCGCGCTAGTGAGAAAAAAAATAATTACCCTAAATCATTTTAAGTTGTCCATTTTTTGGCAATCGCAATACGTGTTCCGGCATTCTCGTTCATTCTAGAGATTGATTGAGCCAATTCGCTACAATTTCAAGTGGAGTGTACTACGTCAATGGTAACGCATGAGAGGCTTTGTCGCGCAGCGACAAAATGATGGCTAATCCGTAACTGTTTTGGCATGCACAACTGGCTTGCTGTAGTTATTGTATTGGTAATTCAAGGTTGTATTTTTCACGTCTCTCTGTTTTTTAGTATCCACGCATCCCAGGCAGCCAGCTATGTGTTTTTCCACCGTGTAAAACCAAATTACGGGTACCCACATAAAATGCGTTGGCGGACGAAACCAATGCGTATGTTTGTATTCGTCTCATAAGTAGACCTCAAATAATACTTAAGCCATAGAGAAGCGTAACACTCAAACTATAGCAACCTATTAGCAAGCCCTACAGACACAATGGCCATCGATTGTGGCACGCAAAATACTTGAGATTGTCGGAAATAATAAATCAAATGTATCGATTCCCCGTTAAAAATGTAAAGTATAATTTTAAACGGCAGCTTTCACTTCCTTGAGGATACTCATATTAAATACTAATATCGCGAACACATAATACTTAAAAATATACCGGCTTTTACATTCGAATGCATACTAAACGTTTTCATTCTGTTTGCAAAATATGAAATTCATACATGATTAAAGTATAACCTAACCTAAAACCTAACAACATATTATAGTTCATATACTGGTGCGGCCGGAGCATTTCAATTTGTACCAAAATATGCAACAGCTTCTGAACACACACACGTAAGGTGCATGTGTAGGAAATCCCTATTTTAGCGTGCAGAAGAAATAAAACCACGCCTCAAAGTCTAACTTTTAAATAGTCCTTTTAATAATGTCTTTTTGATCGCAGATCAAAACTGTTTTGTGAAATTCCTACATACAAAGGTTCTTGATACAAACAGCCACTAAATTGGGAACAGTATGCATATTTTGAGATTTCCGCAACGAAGAATTTACATGCAAAGTCAAAGACATGTGATTTCTAATCATGCAGTGATGAATACGCAAAAATTTGAAGGCATAGACCATTGCGCTTTCAATTCACTTTCTAACAACTATAAATTGGTTTGACAAGTGTCTACAATTTCATGCAATTTGGCAGAAAGACTTGGCACTAAACTTTATCGTTTCGCGTGCATTGCCTCGAGCAAGAAAATCTTTGGCAAAGAATGGCACTTGAAGGAACATGGTTGGAAAATAATTGAGAACAAGCTGTCATTGTCGAGGTACTTGAAAATAATAAAAACACCAGAAAATCGCAAACAAATCTGGTCATAAACCAACGAGGAATCAAACATCGAATGCAGTAGGCATAGAATATACCGCTAGTCTAAAAACCCCAAAATCTACCAAGCGCAAAAGTGGTACATAAAAGCGAACACGCCATAAGCGCAGAAAACGAACACACCAGAAGCAAGTTCTCACAACTTTATGCTATAGTATACTGTAAAGTGCTAAAATAGTATACTAACCTGTGTAACTCGCTAGCCAATACTAACGGAAACCACGATTGCTGAAAGGGAATCAGAAATAAGGATCACTCTACGTGTTGACTGAATGCTGAGTCTGAGCTCATCTCACGATCGCTTACGGTCAACAGTGACGAGGTCGCACGCTGTGCCTATTTATATATATTCTGTGGTTTTGGCGTTCAAGTGCAATTATGTGAGCTTAAAAGGACGACTATGCATGCCTCATTAATTTCCAAATCATTTTTATTATATATATTCCAAACAAACTAAACACAGTTAGAAATTGCAACCATATGTATGCAATATTATTTTTATTATGATGAAAATAACTGAAAACCTTATATTTTCACGTTTCGTGTTTTACGGAGCTCATCCAAAAACCGCAAAAATGAGGAAATCGTTGGTCATATCATAAACACGGTTTTCATACAACAGAACAGTAATTACAGAACTCTACAATGATTGTTACGTCATTTAAATAGTGTGTTTTGAACATAGGACAATAATCGAATGCAAACATTAACCATAGTATTAACTGATAATGAAATATTGGATGTAATCTCGAATCTAATTACAGGTATATATTGCTACGTGCAAATTACAGGTTCTAATTAGCATTGACATTGCATCGAAAGAGAGAGTGCGCATGTTCAAACGTAATGGCACCCATATTTTAGAAAACACTCGTGAATGTGCCTTTCATCTGGATCCGATTGCGACAGTAAGCAGTTCACTGGTTACAATTTCACCTCAGTCGCTTATGGAATAGTGCTTTCAATTTGACTCTACCATCACCGCAGGCAATTGCGGTTTTCCTCTGTTCGTTGTAAAACTGGACCAATGTAAAGTTCCTGTAAGGATCATCGTTTATTGGCCCAATGTCCTAGTGTTACTCCAGGAGGAAACCAGAGCATCCGGAGATAGGTGGCTGCGGTGTCTGGCAGAATCTAATTGGAAACATTTTTCTTACATGCGACATGAGGTAAAAATATTATCAGATCAGTGGCGGACACTTTACGAAATATCTGAAGGGGGGCGGGGGAGGTGGGGGGATTAGGTCGCCAACATATGTCATGCACCTTTTGTAGCTAGAAATCTCAGTTTTTTTATAGTTTTTTGCTTAAATCTCAGTTATTGTTTTCTTGCAAGATATAGCTCAAGTATCCATGCTCTCGTGGTTGAAAAATTATTGTTACAGCTTTATTACACAGTTATTCAGCTATCATTTAAAACTCTTTCAGTCGGTATTAGGGGTGGCGTCCCCCCTACCCTATTGCATATTGCAGGAATCGAGCCCAATTACAAAGGTAAAAGACAGATGTACTAACCCGGCTCTACGACTGTGTTGTTACCAAAAAACTGAAAAATACATGTTGGGTCTCTATCAATATTTTGGGCATCCGCTAATCCTTCTCCCCGAAACCATCTACATATCAGTGAGTCTCTCTACGTGGCACGTGCCATGAGCAAAATATAGTCAAAAACAACCTATTCTTAGCTCTTTATACAACAAAACCATAAAAGACGTCAATATAACCACTTATTTTATAAATAGAATAAATATTTTAAAAGGTTCGCACGAGTACAAAAGGGGCTGACCGCCTAGCAATTAAGTTGTAAGCATGTAAACTTGCGGCCAACAGTGCTGGAGAATGGCCAATGTCACTGTAGAAACGAACTAGCCGCGACAAACAAACCAATTAATCAAACCACAAATCAACTTTGAAGTTAGTATTCATAGGATTCAATCATTTCAATCGTTCGATCTCAGGATTCAATGATTCGACCCTGGTCAAACGAGAATAAGAGATGCACGAGAGTTATAAAGACCGATTTACATCACACAATTTCTCCGGCCAAAAACTGTCGAATACAATCTGCTTACAATTTGAGTTGTATTGTGTGCAAATCAAGTACACAACTCACCCACGTTGTAGGAAAAACGCGAGTACTGTAAGATCGGCCTTAAAACACTCCACCGTAGTGATGGCACGCACAAAGTTATTATAAGCTTTAAAATTAATATCTTCATTTTAATTTATTAACATTAGTATTAGTATATATTATTATTTTTTTGCTCAGGGCTCCACTGAAATCATTCTTGTGAGTGGACCTCCTGATTAAGTATTGTAGTTATTATAATTATTTATACTATTATTATTGGTTGATGACATGACAGTTGGCTGGATATTTCCGCATATAGCAAAACTCTCATTAAAATTTTAACCAGTTCAAAGTTGTTGAGAGGTGACGAGAGTTCATAAGAGTGCATAAGAGTTTGTGGTCAAACACAAGCCTCGTTTGATCGGGGCTTCAGGATTCAATTTTAATACTCATCTTTGTATTCATGCAATGATTCAGTCTTAGGATTCAATTATTGAATCGTATGACTCAATGATTCAGTCTTAAGATTCAATTATTCAATCATCATGACTCAATGATTCAGTCTTAGCTTAGGATTCAATTATTAAATCGTATGACTCAATGATTCAGTCTTAGGATTCAATTATTCAATCGATAATTCACTGGTCTTGTTAGGATTCAGTGATTCACTTTTAGGATTCAATCATGTATCCTCACTCTTCAGGAATTCAGTCTTAGGATTACATGACTCAATCTTAGGATTCAATGATTCTGTTTTAAGATTAAATTACTCATCCATATAATTCAAGAATTCAGTCTTAAGATTCAATGATTCAGTCTTAGGATTCAACGATTATAGTGCATGGTATTCAATGATTAATTCTTGGGATTCGATTGTCAATTTATCAACCACAAATTACTTTGGTTTTTCAAACATGCTTCACAAAATAAATACTGTAATCGAATTCATACAATTAACACAGCAGTGTATTCCGTGGGTACTTCACTTGTACTGATGTATATAGCCAGAAAAGGTATTTTTAAACTTAATGAGCCATTTTCAAGAAGAGATTTAAAACCGTCGAATTCTTAACATTGTTTGGTCCAAAAGTCTTTATCAAGCGCAAACTATTGTCCTATTTATAACGTGAAAGATCATAGATATAGCTTCCCACAACACATCGTCCAACGAGTTTTAGAATTTACCCATACGTGGGTTCCAAGCACTCCCACGAGACTTAACACAATAGCAAATCAGATAAGTCAGATAATATATGAAATGATTCTAATGAGATTGTTTAAATGCCCTTAATGTACACTGATCTGATGCATGATAAAAGCCACTTATGAGACCTATATATATATATGACCTCATTATAGTTATTCATTGACAAATTGATATCTAGATAATATATTCTCTTTTCCTATATGCCAACACACTACAGTCATTTCGTAGTGGTCACACTAATACGAGAGAGGTTCAGATTTGACTTCCACTATACCACTACCTCTCACAGGCCGAATACACAATCTGATTGGTTAATCATGTACATTAATTAAACACATTAATGTTAACGGTAGCGGTAGTGCAAATCAAAATCTGAATTTCTCTATATAATGACTTCAAAACAGTGGCGTAAACAGTGGCGTTTTTATTTTTTGACTGTTGTCATTGTTTGACTGAGATATTATATTTATATTGAATATATAAAATGTTCTGGAAAATTCCGTGTCTATAACAATGAACAATAACAGTCTCCAACACATGTAACAACTTTTAAGAATAACTTTTGTTTTATTTGAGATGGAATAAAAAAACAGCTACCGTTGTCGATGAAGGCTTTATTATTTAGCATTATTAATTTTGCATTTTCCCATTGATTCTTCACCTGCATTTTTTACATTTTCTAATTTTCTGGCCGATGGCTGATGAGGGCCCCGAACTGTCGGGGGCGACTAATGGCAAGCTTCAATCCGGCTGCATGGCAAACATTATTGTGGACGGCGCGCGCCTACGTGCAAAAACAGCATTTTTAAACTCCCCCTCCCCCGTTGAAAGATTATAAATTGGTTAGGTAAAAGCTTTGTGAAATGCATGTCAAAACCAACATTGTAGGGGGGAGCGGGGGAGACAAAGACGCCATCATGCATTCGTATATGTGAACAGTAATACTTCGGTTTAGTTTACATTTTGCAACACTCATGGGACTTGCCGCAGACGATATAGGATTATTGGTTACAACGTCAAAAAACATCAGTAATCAACTTACTTTAGTAATTTCACGTATATAAAATGACATTGACCATTTGACCAAAACCCAACTCTTGGATATACTAATATTTTACGCATGCCTTGCCCTTATATACAACGTGCGAATGGGGTGGCGGGATAGATGTGCTTTAATGATACTTGAAGAATATACTGCAAACATCAACTGAGCGCATCACTAACTAACAAAGTTTCTCACTAACATTCGGCAAAACCTAAAATCGAACCGGCAAATTAGAATGAATAACATTGCTGTCGGTCATTGCAGTATGCCGCGGTATTTGAGTTATTTAAATAGGTAAAACGATTGTGGGCGGATTTTTTTTTGTAAAACCACACGTAATTACTCGCACGAATTTACTCATCACGCGATACGAAAGATTTTGTCTGAAAGAAATTAAACTTTGAACTTATTTTATATACACTGGATAGCATTACGAGTTCAAAACTGTTTTTCCTAGAGGACCAGCATATTCCCAGATGTTGTGACAAGTCCGGCACAAGTTGTTGTCAACTTGTTACAAGGTTGATGACAGTAACCTGATATTATACTATTACTATGCTCTTGGTAGGAGAACGAACTACTATGACAATGCTAATCAGAGCATTGCGCATTTTGAGGACAATCACTGACTGAGTCATAAGTATACAGTTAAGTTAAGAACATTTCAGGACAAGAAAGTGATTATAAATTTTCTAGCATATTTTGTGAATAGCATAATTTAACAAAAACTTGTAGCATAATTTTAACGAGCACTGTTAGTCGCATAATGTGCCAGTTTTACCACCACAATCGAGAAAAGCCTAGTGTGAACTCAGTATAACGATGAAATTCCTGAGCTTATACTTTTAGCGGTTTCCTTTTTGCAAATGCTTTACCGTATTTAATTACTCCTGTTATTTTGGCAGGCATTTTTCCCGCCATTTTCGTAGACTCGCGCGCATGCGCTTGATGTTTGACCGCGATGTTATTTGCATCACAAAATCCAATATAGTATGGAAATATTTTATCCATATGGATAAATGGCAATGGCATTTCCAATTAAGTTCGTACCGAGTTGTTAAGTGGATGACAACAAGCTCGTAGCCTGCGTCAAAGACGCTCGTGGGCGGTGGATGGCAACAAGCTCACGTAGCAACTTGTTTTTAGATTAATAGTCATTAGTCTTGTTGGAACTACTTGTAACGTGCTGGCCTATCAGAATCCCTATCAGAAATATCAACCGGTGGCTGACGCCATTTTGGATTTTTGATGAGAGCATAGAGTTATGGACTGTTGTGTACTTGGTTTAGGCGGATTGTATACGTTTCATGGCCTAACTAAGAGTGGCTGGACTGCCGACGCTATATGAAAATAGATTGAATAAAGCTAGTTTAAAGCACCAGTATGAGGAATAAAACTTTTCATGGCTTCAGTATTTTTCATGGCTCCAGTATTTTGCTCTGAAGTTTATAAATATGCCAATTATATGCTAGCAGTGCTATTCCCGCTAAAAAATCCAAAAATAAACTCGTTTTCCCAAATTATGCCGAAGAATGTGCTAGCACAACGGAGAAAAGTCTAGTTTCCACCCTCGTAGAATTTTACTGTTTCTGGCAGTGTTATCTACTCAGGTGAAGATATATGTTTGTGGTGTTGTCTGAGTGTGTGTACACCGTGCAAGCTGAAAAGTTTACTTGGCCGCGGTGGGAATCGAACCCGCGACCTTTGGGTTGCTAGTCCACTATAGATAACACTATTTCCCGCAGTATTTCGAATACAGGCAGT